TATAGGTTGTTTATTGGGTAAAGGAGGTTTCATTATTACTGAAATGAGAAGAGCTACTGGTGCTAGTATACGGATTTTTCCAAAGGAACAAGTACAGAAGGGTGGCTACCACAATGACGAAGTTGTACAGGTGATATTATAATACTGCACATGCCTGCTGTATGTCATGTTGCTTAATCTTCAATTATCTAATTAAGTATGATGTGGCCTTACTGGATAAAGAAAGTTGCTGTTAGCCTTACATGGACATTGGGTTGATTTATGGGATTGGATGCATGTTTTTGGTTCCTAAATATAACTAGTAACACAGTTATTTGTTTGATCTAAAATATATAAATATCATTCTTCTCTCTATTTTTCTGTTGGTCCACGGGTTCTTTTTCTGGACTTGAGTACCCTACTCTTGCTAAATACAGTATCAGGATATTCACTTGGTGCTTTATGGCAGGTTATTGGTAGCTTGCAGTCTGTACAGGATGCGCTCTTTCATATAACAAGTAGGATTCGGGAGAGCATATTCCCAATGAAACCACCTTATGCTAATTTCAGTGGCCCGCCCTACATGTCTCCATTTCCCGAGATGCCTCCACCCTCCTTTAGACCAAGGCATAACCCAGCCTCCCCCGGTCCCTATCCTTCACCTGGTAGATTCCATCATGGAATTGATCATTCTGCTTTTCCATCCCAACCTCCCGATCATCAGCCTTCATTTTCACATAGTATGGATCACAATGGCCCATCTCACATGGACCGAGTTCCCTATTCTTTTGGCAATGAGCGACCAGGACATGGTCCAACATATGAGAGTCCTTCTCCAAGAGCATGGACTCCCCAGGTTGGTGCCTTATACTTTTAAAAAACCTTAGACTTTTATATTTTGATCTATCATGGGGAGAATAACCTATCACCGTCAATTTCTAATATTTATGTTAAACCTCTTTTTCCGGTCTGTTGGATGCTTCTAGGGAGTAAGCTGTGGGACTCCTAGGGGAACTGCTGATGTTGGTTTGGGCATGGCTACAAGAAATGGGTCTCTACGAAGGTAATATTTCATAGCCTCTGGAAAGGACATTTGTTATATGCTATTGAACTCCCAAGTATTTATGATTAGATAGAGGTAAATTTTTTGTTACTTATTAAAGTAGCACCACATGTTGACACTTCTGGCCATGTTATTTATCTCGTGAATTCACCTATTATGGTTGTGGTAATTTGCTAAATTCAAACATGATTGTGATAAGTAATACTGTTTGGATAAACCTGAATGGGCACATAATCTGAGTAAAGTATTTAGTGAACTTGAATATATCCTTGTTTCTCTCTATAATTTTAGGGAGTTGTTATTTACACTCCAAAAAAACTCATCCTTTAACCGTGCATTGTATAAACATAAGAGAAAATGCACTTAGACAAGTGCAGGATGAGTATTTTGGATTGTCAATAACAGTTCCCTAATTTTTAATCCATGCAAACAACTTCAATGCTGTTGCTGCCATTCTAACCTTTTTCTGCAAATTTTATTTGAGCAGCGGAAGTCAACCGCCTTACTTAAGCAGCACAACCGTTGAGATCATGATTCCTCAGACATTGATTTGTCACGTTTATGGAGAGAACAACAGTAATCTGAATCAGATCCGGCAGGTGGGTTTATCTGTCCTGTTATTAGTTCAATGGTATTGCATTCAAAATTGGCAATGTGTTGTTGGGGATCTTTTTTCATGGATATTTCATCCGCAGATCTCAGGCGCAAATTTGGTTGTTCATGATTCAAAGTCTGGATCTTTGGAAACCCAAGTTGTAGTGTCCGGAACCCCGGATAAAATGCGTACTGCACAGAGCCTCATTCAAGCTTTCATCCTTTGTGGGCAGACACAACTTTGACAATCTGTTAAATCTGTTCTAGTGGCACCCATTTGAATGAAGAATGGGAGTGTGTGGATATGAATTTTGTCCCTCTAGAGAGTGTAAATGAATTCATCACATCAAAGCGTAAATTCTACATGCAATTCCATTGTAAATCCAAATTCCAATACTTAATTTAGTTCAATTTTCCATCATTCTTGGTTTCTGTTGAGTCAAACAGTGCCCCCGCGCATTTCTAAACCCATTTTGTATACATAGTTTTTGGCACAATCTTAAAGCTTAATTATTGTTTTGCCATCCAATTTATGATTTGGATTTTGCTTTATATCTGGAAAATTATTTTTATTTTTTCTTATTTAGCTCTTAAAATTTTCATCTTGGTGTCTCACTTCCTAAATTTCCATCTCCATCGTCCCTTTAAATTCGTTAAATTCGTTAAGTTTGTTGACATGACATGACACACGGATTACTCCATACATTTCCATTTCCATCATCTCTCTGTCAAAAAAATTGTTATAAATTCGATAAGTTTGTTGACATGGATTACTCCATACATTTCCATTTCCATCATCTCTCTGTCAAAAAAATTGTTATAAATTCGTTAAGTTTGTTGACATGGCATGGTATGTTTGAACCTTTTTTTTACATGTGACACAAAATAATAATAATAATAAAAAAACTAATTAAGGCCTAACATTCAAGTTAAAAGAACAAAAGAGCTTTTTTTGTTTTTATTTCCTAGGACTGAAGATACACAAATTTAAATTCAAAGCGAAACACAACCAGCAGCTCCTCCCTCTACCCCAACCTCATTCACATGGCTCAAACCCGCAGCGGGGGCCACCTCATCAGCAACCGTCTCCACCGCTATAACGGGGATGGTAAAGTTAGTGACGGCGTGAGGACCCCTCAGCTTCAGCGCTGCTCTGTCGTAGACAGCGGCAGCTTCCTCGGCAGTGTCGTAGGTTCCCAACCAGACCCGTTTTCTCTGAGTCGGGTCCCGAATCTCTGCGGCATATCGGCCCCAAGGCCGCTTCCGGACGCCTATGAACTTTTCCCGGCGGGTCGGGTCGGGTTCAGGCGGGTTGCCTCGCTTGGACAGCTTAGAATGACAGGAACAATTCGAAGATGAGGAGAGCTCACGGCTGATCTTTCTGACATGCCGTTTGACACCGGGTACGACGCTGTCTTCGTCGCTGGAGGAGTCGGTGGCGTCGGCGTCTGCGAGAATGATCCGAACAAGCTGCTTTGGTGGGAGCCGGGTGGGGTTTGGTGGTGGGTTTTGGTTTCGATGGAACATCTTGGGTTTGGTGAGGGTGGTGGTGGTGGTGGTCATTTGCGCTGAAACTTGGGGTAGGGAGGAGTGCTTGCTCTGGAATTTAAGGTTGGGGAAATGAAATTGGGTTTCTGTTGATGTGGCGGAGCGACGTCTAAGAAGGGAAGGCAAAAATCATACAGAAAGCAGTGAGTTGTAGTGAGTGAGTGAGTGAGTGATAGTGAGGGAGAAAGGTTTAATTTTAGAATCTGGAGGTTGGATATTCCCTTTTTAATAAGAAAGTGGATGTGGCGGAGCGACGTCTAAGAAGGGAAGGCAAAAATCATACAGAAAGCAGTGAGTTGTAGTGAGTGAGTGAGTGAGTGAGTGATAGTGAGGGAGAAAGGTTTAATTTTAGAATCTGGAGGTTGGATATTCCCTTTTTAATAAGAAAGTTGGGGAAAAGAAAGAGGAGAAAGAGATGTGTGGGGTCCACTGTTTTTGCTTACGTCTGAGCGCCACGTGGACCCGCACATGCCACATCGGCAAGCAAAGGTCGAATGTAACTGATTTTTTGTCTCTGATAAAAATGTCATCATTATGTGTGGAAATGGCGCCAGGTAGTGTTAGCGACAGAAACACAACAGTTTTAGAGAAACCTCGATGCTTCATAGTTGAGGAATAATATTGCTCTTGGAGTTGAGGAGCCAAAAAGACGAGGCTTTGTGTATATTCTGTTGATTGGAGCTAGAAAGTGTAAAAGTAAATCCTCCCAACACAACCCTTTCACAACAGCTGTTTCACCGTCAGATAGAAAGCTCAAGCTCAGTTTTACAGACATAACAACTTTTTTTAAGTAAAATGCCAAGGAGAAAGAAGATGGAACCCGATGCCGAAATGTTTAGTTAATTCAAGTGCAGGAAAATCCTATTGGCATATTATGCAGTGCGGTGAGACCAAACTCAACTCATCTAAAAGAGATAAAAGGAGCATTTCAAAATTACTTCTAATCATCTAAAGCTCCTCCATACAATGGCTAGCCTGAGCAAAAAGGCTATAACGAAGACTCACTACCGCTTCCTGTAATTCTAAAGACCTGGTCGGCCGCCAAATTTCCGTTCTGTAAAACAAGCCAAAGTAGAAGAGAGGAAAAGAAATCAAGAAATAGTGGAATAGAATACAATCCTATACTTCAATATCTTCTTAAGAACGAAGCATACTTTATAAATCAGATTTCATATCTTCGTTCTTGCTTATGGAAATGGAAGGGTTTTGTCCTGCTTGGGGTGCTGCTGCTGCTGCTGCTACTGCCTTGGAGAGGTCCCTCAGACTACCCTACGGTTCACAGAGTGCAAAGAAAAAATAAATAAATAAATAAAGCAGTGGAAATTTCAATGAAATTACTGAACAGAAAATACACTCTTTTCGTGACAGATATTTCCTTGTAAGACCACCTTAGGGATTAATCCAAACGAAAACTGAGTATTGACCCTAAATGAAACGGCAAATGCGGTGAATGCAATTGCATCTTAATAATCATATTCACAATGGTATTTAAGACAGACTTCCATTTACCATGATAGAACTGTACAATATGCAAAATGGTACCAAGCACAATCATTATACAAACCACCGGAAATAAATAGTGAAGAAACAAGGTAACAAGCCACTTGTATTTACCTTGTTTGCCCACATAAGTCCACATGCGTTGCAAAGGGTTCTTGGTCCATCAGGTCCACGTCGCATCATTGGTGTACACTTCTCATTGATGCCACAGTGTCGACAGCTGGCAATAAATCCACAGTACATAGCAATAATAAGATTACAAAAATGAGTTCAAAGAGAAAGATCCTACTGCTATCAAACTTTTTATCAAACTATCTTTGGAGATGAGGGATTCGAACTTGAGACCTTGGGTGTAGGGGTAAATGCTCTTTTCACTATATGCTCATGGAAAGCAATAAAACTATGGTCTCAGTTCAAGCTGCTCACACGTGTAAATTTTGACAAAGAGAAGCCGAGAAAATATAACCCTACTTGCACAAGTATCGCACCACAATTATTCTACTCTCAAAGATTATGTCATATTTTATGGGAAACTTAAAATTTCATTTAATGAAAGAAGAAAACGAAAGTTGAGTTAAAAGGAAAAAGCCTTTAATGGCTTAGATAATCAAGGCTAGATATCTGATTCTATCCCAAACAGAATCCACCTCCTCCACACCCTATCATCAAAATTCTTTTCATTTCTTTCAAAGCAACCTGTCCAAAGCCAAAGCCAAAGCTAAACATTGCCAAAGCGTAATAGCCTTTTCTGCCCCAAAACCCAAAATATCCTTGGCCATCAGAGATAAGATAGCATATCATGAGCAGAGCAGTGTACTTCAGCAGGTCACCACAAGCTCAATTTCTTACAGCTATATCCTTTCCAAATTTAAACCTAGTATAAAATTACAACCTTCAAATGCATTAATTACAAAAATATGTTTGTTCCTCTACAATATCTTCTATACAGCTGAATTACCTTGTTATTCCACATTAATGTCTTGTCCTATTTCATGACCCATTCAATTTGAATGAAGTCCATTGACTCCATTCAATTTGCATATTCTTTACATTTAACAGTACAAGTGATAAAGTCTTCAATAGTGGTGCTTCATCAAAAACCACCAGACTTTACTAACCACATGACAGTTCTGTATACTCGTTTTGGTTTCTCATAGTTCAGGGTTTTAATAAAGCTATATGCATTTCTAAAAATATATAAGAGCTACTGGATCGACTTCTTTGCTTTCCTTAAAATCTATAAATATCTTTCTTCCAAGCCTGCCTTGTCCAAATTGTTCCTACATCCATGAAGGTCTACTTAATAATTTGTTATAAAATTTTAATTTCTTATGTAAAATTCACAGATTGCAGACATTAAGAAATTTGAATAAAACATGTTAACTTACACAGCCTCTTGATGTTGGGATCCATTACCATCCTGACTCCAGCTCTCGTTTGAGCCCGAACTTGTGACAGCTGATGCAGAATCATCATTATTGGGTTTAGAAGATGTGAATTGACCTTTCTTTCGTTGCATCCTACAGCAGTAATCATGAACATCACTCAAATTTGCCATAGGCTAATAAGGCATCATAATTCATTTATTAATGACAGCTATTTAGAATGAGGAAATCCCTCAAAGTGAAAACAAGGCAACAGCAGAAGGGAAAAAGCATGTCTAACACAAGGTTGAAAATGTTGATGTTGGTGGAAATCTCAGTTGATTCTGATTGACAGAAGTATCAATGTTGAATTAACTTTAGAACATTGAATCGTAAAGTAAATCAATTAATAACATCCCTAGCAGTGAGAAAAGTACCTAATTACCTATATTCTGCCTAAAGTGAAGTCACATTCAGCCCATGGAATTAGTTTACATAAGCAACATCCCTAGCAAGCATCCATAGAACTGGTTCATGAACTACTGACTATTTGAAACTACACATCATTGGAACCATTTATTGGTTTTCCATCACTAATCTTAGATTGAAGTCATAAAATACAACAAAGAACAAGTATTCCTGCAAAAATTGAACTAGTTTACCTCATAATTCATTGGTTATTATGACAAATGCAGATGCCATACCTAAGTGCTACCTCTTTTCGAACAGTATAACGAATCTTCTTGTCAAAATTTCGTTCTTTCCGTTTTTCACGGAATCTAATTAGTGAAGCCAGTCTTTGAGGGACACTCAACCGTTGTGGAGTACTAGTAAGGCCCTGGTTGAATTCTTTGTTAGCAAGATACTAGAATACAAATAACTGTTAAGAAATCACTTGAGACCAAGTTCAGATACCCGATTATTATGCTGCGTGGTTACTGGGACAGCAGGCATGCTTGGAGGTACTTCACGGCCCCCCAATAGTAACAACACAGCTTGAACCTGAGGAAGGTAATTCAAATAAATCAGAAGGCTTTCTCTTTATTAAGCTACTAAGAAGACAAAGTAGCCACAAGTAAAAAAATTATAGATTTCAAAGTACCAAAAGAACATTCGAAAGACTACAGTTTTCCATATGCAAACTTTTGAAACATGTGCCAGAAAGTAACAAGCATGGCAGTCTTACACACTTTTACTTTCTGTAATGTGTACAGATATAACTCAATCTAAGTTTAGGATCCAATGTTATTGTTTACATATCTACATGCTCCCCAGTTTTATATAGAACGCTAGTAACACTCCATTTATTATGTATGGCCGTGTCTGCCAATAGACTCCCATTTTACCATTTTTTCACTCATTTGTGTTTACAGTTATAATTACAAATCTACATGGTCCACAATATTATCTAGAACTCTAGGAACACTCCATTTACTATGTAAGCGGTCAAGTCTAAGAATAGTTCTCCCATCTTACCATTATCTTTATTTTACATTCCAAATTCTCTAAGGTCTGTATAACTCTTCGATGCCAAAAATTCAGTATGCAGATACATTTTCAATATTACTTGAGTAACTAGAAAAACTATGCTTCCCAGATCAGTTTTCTTGTAAAAATCAAACATTTTCGCCAGTCATGTGATACATCATATTCATGAAAATTCTATTAGACAATCAAAAGACATTCATAAAATGTACAATAAACCAAATACTTGAAGCAATTCATCTCGAGCATAACCATTATCAATCAAAGCTTAAACAAACACTGCAACAAGCGCATAATGTGTTAATAAAGCACCCCAATAGAGCTAATTCCAGTAACAAGCCACACAAGCATAAATCAAATATACCATGTAGAGAAAACAATAACAACTGGCATCATAAAACTTCAGGATAATCAATCAAATCACCTTCTCAGGTGACACAGAGTCGAACACGAAAACCTGACCCTGAAACGACAATGTGAGCTGGTCTCCATTTTCGGGGCCATGGTCCATCATCCCATCATGCGTATCAGAAAGATTCATGGGGTCAGACGGGACATCGGCTTGGACAAGTTCAGCTCCACCACTTCCATTATCATGATCATCAGCCACCCCATTTCCATTGCTTATATGGTCCAACCCGTGATGATGCTCATGCTCTTGCATGTATTGCAAATGCAGATCATCATTCATATGCATGGGTTCATCGCTGCCACAGATGTCATCCATTGCTCACTCCTCAATTTGTATCACACTCTTCCAAGTTCACTACTCTTTTGTACAAACTTGTGTAAATTTACTGCTTTTCACCTTCATGTCAATGCCAAAGCTATCAATTCAAAGATCAAATGGCTCAGTGCTCTGTTTGGTTGCCAGGAAAATGCAAGGAAACAAAATTATAATAAAAATTGCAGAGAACTGTGCTAATACACGCAAATGATGTATTTAGCTCATGGTAGTATTACTGTGTTTGATTGCCTAGAAAATGCGGGAAAATTAAGAAAAAATAATAAGAAATCTTGACAGAATTGTACGAAACTACGAAATGGAGTTGCATGTATAAGTGAGAGTGATTTGCTTAGTTGAAGTTAGTAATTGAACATTTCCATAATTTTCCTCAGGTTTCTGGGCAAGCAAACAGAAATTTCAATACGAAATGGAGAAAAAAAATTTGGAAATTTACATCATCGGAATTACCAATCGAGGGCAAGATAATTCAGAACTGGGATAACGATATCCGAGAAAGGAATAATTAATTCCGATTCCGGTTTGTGATTCGAAACGATGTGCAGCAGAAAAAACAGAACACGAGAAACTTGAAAATTCGGGTGGAGATGAAGAACGAAGATGTGGCCGTCGGATTGAAGTGAGAGACTTTTATGATCAACGGTGGGATCTTGCGGAGGCCTTCTGTTGTCAGGAATTTCGAGAATTGAAGATTTGTCCTCAATTCATTAGATTTAGGGTTTCTTAAAGAAATAACATGTTAAAATTTTTTTTTTAATGCGAGTATAACATGTTTATATAGCATTAGAAAACTGGCTTTTCTTTTAAAAAATAAAAATAATAGAAAACTGACTTGTGATTTTTTCATTAACGTAAGAATTTAATAAACTGACCTATTTTGGATATGGCAAGGTCGAATGCAAGACTTTGGATAACCAAATTTGTTTACCAAATAATGTGTTAGCTAATGTGTCAAATACCTTACTCTATCTTAATAAAACTATAAAATGTCTTCGACCCTTGGATAACCAATATGTTCATCAAATGATGTGTTAGCTAATGTGTCAAATGGACGTTAAGGATTGGTTACATATTTATAATCTTAGTCGTTGGATTGCATTCATTAGATATGTTGGTAAATTTAATATGCATTCAACGATCAAGATTAGCAATATGTAACCAATCATTAACGTAAAATATTTATTGGAAAATTTCCCTGAAATATGTTCTTGAAATGATGTGTTAGTATATGTGTCAAATACCTTACTCGTCTTAATAACACTACGATTGTAGACAAAGGCTGGTTCAACTTCTAGAGCCGTGCATGTAGGGAGATTTAAAACCAAGTTCTATCTTCACCTCACCTATGTCACACTCTCATGAACATGGAAGGAGTCCAGTCGTATTCAATCGAACTTTGTTCCTATGACCCATCACCGAAGTGGAAAACTAAATTCAACCAAAATCTCAACAGAACAACGGAAGCAAAACCCATTTGGTGGATATATGATCCTAAGAACAATATGACTATCACACGATTCACCTGTTAACTATAAAAAAGGGAGGTTGTTCTTAGCACTCCAAAAATACAACGGAGAAATTGCATTATGAGTACTAGATGACTTTATTTAACTGTCAATAACAACTCCCTCAATAAAAATAAAAAAAGATATTTAATCATATACCCATTCTTAGAACTAAAATTATAAATAAACCCTACACCATTTAATTTCTATAAACAAACCAAAAAAAAAACCCAAAAAATGATAGCTAACCCTATTGAATTTAATTTTGATTATTAAATTACTTTAATGCCCTATTGAGTATTTTGGATTTTTTTAATGAGATTTTGGAGTTGGGTATGTTTTAAAAAATCAATAGCAATTTTGTAATTTAAAAGAAGTTAAAAGCCTTTTTATTATGTTGTAAATGGGTTTTGGAGTGTTTCTAAAATCCATTTCATATAGGGTTTTTTTATTTATAATTTGGGCTCCTATATTAAATATAATAGTGAATCTCCCATAAAAAAAGTTGCAACTTCAGGAGCAAGAGAACCCATGCAATGTGAGAGAGAGAGAGAGAGAGAGAGAGAGAGAGAGAGAGAGAGAGAGAGAGCACTTATGGTCTGGAAATATTCAATAAGTAATTTCTGCCCATCAAGTCATTTATTCAATTGGGCTTACAAATCATAAGTGTCATTGACATGTCAAATAGAGGGGGGTAAATAAAAAACAAAACATTCCTCCATGAAATTACAAAGGTTCTTCCATTCCCAAATGGCTAAGAGGAAATATTCATTTTCCTATGAGAGAGAGGTGACGACTGACAAATAATCTGTATGTGCTATGTTACAAATCCATCACTGTGAAAGAAGAGCACGCATGTCTCACCATAGAATACAACTTCCACCAACAGGTGAAATTTGTAAAGCCGCATAGTTTCCTCATACAAAAGCTGACATTAAATTTCAAGGACTAATGTATTTTACTATTTGGCCCTTCATCTACTTGGACCCTAGAATTACAAAATAACGAACAGAAAATAAATCCTATTAATCTCATGATCGGCCCTCCTTCCTGCCACGCAATCTAATCTTTGGTCTATCATCCCCATTTGCTCTTCCAGAATTTGCTTCATTATGCCTTGCCACAATTCTTAGTGGGTGAGCTTCCGTGTTGAAAACCCATTCATCAAGTGAGATGACTGAGGAGGGTGAAAAAAGAAGATAGAGATATTTGAGAGTCTCCGCAAGAAAGAAGCTTTGCATCATATTGTCTTTGTCACCAGTGTTAACCTGATAACCACCAACAGCCCGCATAAATGAGAAACCATATGTTACCAGTAAAAAAACATAAAAATTATTCCACCAGCTCGAAGCTTCAGTCTACTAAGGAGCAAGTATATTTGATTAGTTCAAATATTCATGAGATGAAAGCAATAATGGATACGATAACATATTGCAGCCCCAAAAGATTATTGGTCAAAAGAAAAATGTTTTCCAGTTAACACCCAACCTCTAGAAAAAGCATCATCAACACGAGATTCAACCATGAACAAAAGGTCATGCAAATTAAATGCATAAGAAAACTTGAATGGAGGCACACTGGTAGTTATGAGTTTGAGAAGTGCATACATCTTTCAGTCCAACATATCCTGACTCTATGCGGGAGTTCTTTTCAAATGCTTGAAATATATTCCAGCCCCACTCTTGGTATGTCTTGTTGCCAGTCAAACGCCAGAGGTAAAAAAGTGATTCAATTGTCTCTGGTCTCAATATATTCCATGACGTACCCACACTCAAGTCCTGGAAATATCAAACATAGACACCATGAGAGAAAATATTAAGTACGTGGCATCGAATAAACAAATATCAGGATAACTAACCTCGCCAGCACGAAAGAAATAGTTCTCTCCAGCTAATTTTGTTGGTGTAGACTGGTAGAAATTATAGCATGTCCAAGCAAGCTGAAAAATAGGTTTACAGTATCCAGTCAAACGCTAAAACGGTACACTGTTTGGAAGCTGACTATAATTAAAAAATTTACGAGCTTTATTTGTACTTTTATCTATCAGGAAACATGAACTTATAATAAATAAAAGAAAATTGAATTACAATAAAAGTCAGACAAGAAGTCTATTTATGCTCTCAACCAACAATATCGAAAACAACACAGATTCACAATAGGCCCAACAATATTCACAACTCATGAAAATTCTCTCTACATAAAGAACCAATGAAATATAGCTTCTTTTGATATTTTTCCTCTTTTTGGCTAGGCAAACTACCCACCAGAGATTCAACCCCCAAACTCATTCTTCACCGTTATTCTGCCCAACAGTATTCACACTAAAACAGTTATATAAGACTACCTAATTGCCTTCCAACTTCTACTTGAGCAATATCAGCCGTTTGAGTCACATTTAAACCTAAAAATATAACTTTTACAAGCTCTAATCTATCATATAAACTACCAAAAGGCCCTAACACAAATCAGTTCTTACTGTTCTATATCAGATTTAGTGCTGAAAAGTAATGACAAGTTTCTACAATGTCCTGACATTTTTAGTATACACATGGTACTCTCTATCACAAAATTGTGGGCATGGTTTGGATGCAACAGAATTGTGACAACTACAGTTGCTTCCACAAAACCTATACATAGGAAAATTTGTGTGCCAAATCACACACACAGCATCTCAGTTAATAGAGCCTGTCCAACTGACATGAAATATGGGTTCAAAAGAGGCCCTATATCTCAAAGTAATACCTCTTCTGCAAGTGACAAGAATTTCTTAGAGTCGTCAGGACCATAACCAGATGATCCTAAAGCCAGCATTCCTGGAGCAAAGCACGCTAGTTCGTCCATCTGCATTGGAAAATGCCACTCAAAATGAAACACGGTAATTTATTGACGTAGCATTAATGATGCTGCAAAACGATAATTTACCTTATTTGTCAGAGTTCTCCCATTCTTCTCGCATATATATGTAAAAGATGATGGTGTTGTTTTCCGGATCAAGCTCAACAGACCTTTCATTGATTTCTCCCACATATCTCTGCTTCCAAAATTCCACAAAAGAATTTTGACATCAAGATAAATTTAAAGAAGACCATGACCACATATCCACTTCAAAATAGAGTTCAGAAAAAGAAAAGGTTAACAAAAAAAAAAAAAAAAAAAGGGACTACAGGACTTTTTGACCTTAAAGAACTACAAGATTTTGTGGCCTTAAAGAATACAGGTTCTTCCTAGTACCAGAGCAAAAGTCACATGATGCCTTTTATGATTTCTAATGTTAAGTTCTATGACAAATTTGGTCTTTCAAGCATACATGCTTCTCATAGCTCTTTAAATCAACCAGAATTTTGTTGTGGCAAAGTGACTATAACCATCTAAAGAAAATGACAAGCTTCTTACCTATAAGGCTTTACAGCTGTAGTTCTATTCCCCTGTATCCAAACTTTGAGTAAATATTCATAGAAGCTGCAATGGATTGTTTCAAGTTGATTACACCATTGTTTTAAGCCAATCGCACCAGTATACCTTATGAAACCTGAAACTCAGAGAATTACATAATTCATATCAAAATTTTATGCTTACCTGTCACCCATAGCGCCAAAGGTTATAACGGAGTACGCTGACGTTCCTCTTTCAGGGTCAATATAAATAGGAAGCAAGCCATCATCAGGGAAAGTTTTGTTAAGCTGCACTACAACATTCTCAGCCTGGAAATCAACATTCAAGCAATTAGTTTAACATCACTAAAATGAAAAGTCACCAATCTATGCCTTTCTTATATAACCTAGATAGATATACAAGTTATGTTCTGAATACAGTTTACGCAAATACTATGAGCAACAAGTCATAATATACCAGACATCATGAGTTAAATCAAACAAAATGTTCCTGTAAATGCGCTATTTGACCAGGGTAAAGAAAACACTAGTACACATGGTAGTAAATGTACCTTCTGCTGATATTTTGGGTCTCCTGTCCTCTGAGAAAGAGCAATAAACTCCACCTGCTCTGTGCCGGAATCTGCCAAGATACTTTGACCCTAAGAGCATGATGAATTCAAATATAAAAAATATTAATCAAATTCCAAAACACTACTTGTAATTGTTCAAAATGTTTCAGAACAATTACAAAAGAGATCTGCACATGCAACAATATCAATAAGCATAAACGCAACTTAGGGTAATGTGATATCATAACAAGAGACAATCTGAAAATTGTATTTTTTCTTCACTACTTACTCCAGTCCAAGAAGGATTGTGCGGTCTTCCATGTGCCAAGTTGATAATGTTGTAAGGGATTCCACTAGGTGTATCCCATGCAGGCAGCAATCTGTCTGCAATATCTATAGCCTTATCAAGGAAAACTTTATCTTCTGAAAGATCATATGCACTGAGAAGGCCACCTACAACTCTGGGTTTTCAGAAAAAACGATAAACATGATACATCAGAAAAGCTGCTTTTAGAAACCAAAAAAGCAGGAAAAATAAAGTGAAAGCCCAAACAGCCTGTTATAAAAGGGAGAAAATAATTAAAATCAACCATATATTAAACCTTATAATGCAACCTTATGGTTGTCTCAAAAACACTAGCCTCATAATCCTTGTTAAAATCCAAAGAGTTTGCAACCCACCTGCCACAGAAGATATTAGTTATAAAACATTTATTATAAAGATGTAATGTGTAAAGTTGTAGAATGAGGTTGTGAGCAAAAAGAACAAAAAAAAAATAGATGGGAAAAATAAATGAATAAGTGATAAGTAAGAATCAATGGTTTAAAAAGCGCGCCTCGCCACGAGGCGCTGAGGAAACACATCAGAGCGCTCAATGCAGGGTGGAATTCCGTTTAGGCGTTATCCAGGCATGCTGGAGGCGCAAAAGAAAAGGTGATCTAAGATGGTTTACACAGTGCAATGAAAATCTGTCAAAGCGCTGTGCAAAGATTGATTTTGGTTCAAGCTGACGGAGATAAGGACAAGAAGCTGAAACAGCATTCATAGATATATACATAGGACTTGATAGTTAACAGAAATATGGCCCGACATAGGAGCAATGACACAATATAGCCCAGGTATCAATCCCCAAATAGTTTGGACTTTGACATAATTAACTGAGGGCACTGGACACACTATAACCATGTATAATTAGTAGCATGACTTCTTTTCTCTTATTTCCTTGCTTTTAGGTAAGCGCGTGAGTTTAACCCACAAAGAAAATGTGATCCATACGAAAAGACGAGGAGAATAGCTTATATTACAAACTAGGAATAAAAGAAAACTTCCAAGAAAAATTCTAGTAAAAATTAAAAAAGCGTTTAGAGCCTTTGGTGGTTAAAGACAGAGAGTAATGCGATAAGGGTTCAAATACCTATCCACAGAATATGCTACCAAAGAAAATAAAAAATAGAAACTTCAACTCACTCTCTAGCTTTCTGGAACTCCTCATGAAGACCCATTATATACAACGTATCAAGAGAGTCTACTAGTGTTGCTCCAAGACCACCAAAGCTATTAACACCATTCTTTGATTGTGGCTGGTACATGGAAAAAAAAAATTTATGTTAGAAATTTGTACTAAACAGAACAACATCATCAATAACATATGGAAAGTAAAAAAAAAAAAAAAACTTGGCAAAGATATTAAGTTTGTGGTCATTACAAATAGAACTGTCATGCACCCAGGCAACTTTAATGCTCCTTAGATTGTTTAGCAAGCACAGGAAAAGGAATGTAGCGTATCAGATTAGTTACATTAGCACCTACATTTATTTTGTTGAACAATATGTAAGACGCATGCTGAGATTAATCAGGCAGATACAAAGTCTGTATACATATCATCTGCTTTTTAATGTGTAGGAAATATTTAAATTTTACTGTTGATTTCTCTGACTAATTCTCCACTAGTGCATCATTTATCCACCACAACACATCATAAGAGCTCCAGCTCTCCTATGCCCAACAGAATATTGATCAATGAGTCTCCACCATTAAGATCAATCGATAAAGTCCATTGAACCTAACATGTGGACTTCAACATCGTTCCAACAAAAATCCATCCCTGCGTCCTCCTGGACTCTTGCACTTTATGTTCTTTGCCACTACTCTCCAACCTTTGGCCAAAGATTTTCTAAGGCCAAATAATTCTTCACAGCACCAAATGAGTCTAAAAATTTGGAAGTGGCGAGTAATACTAAAATTTTACTGCTGCTTAAGAGCTTACATAACGTTAGAATACCATACAATATATAGGACCCAATACAAAAGGATCCTAGCACAATCTCCTTAAAGAGATGATAATAAATAGATCAGTACAGACAAATATTTTTTGCTTAAAAAGACCATAACTTAAGTATTAAAGGGAGTATGTACAGTGCCATCCACTTAATAATTTTGCTTATTACAGTCTAATTTCAGAAACCCAATATGTAATAACTTTTCTAATTAGTTACATACTGGCTGAAAGTTAGACCAAAGCTTGAAAACCTTGCCAAAGTCAAAACTTCGGCAAACTACCAATGATCAACTTAAGATACACCAGCTTGACCAAAAAACAAAACTTAAGATACACCAGAAGGAAAATAAAACCTTGTAGGACTCATTTCAGCAAACAGCACAAAAGGAATACGTGGGTAAAAAAAGGCCATAATGCAGTGTACATGCTTTGAGATACAACTTCTAAAAATGAAATAGATAATGATAATCTTGAAAGGTCCATTATACCTGAAGTTCATCTTGGCCCCATGCATACTTCTCATATGAACTCCATGCATGAATCATAGCTTCTTTCACTTTTTCTCGTCTTTGAATGTCAATCGGGTCATCTGGAACAACCTCTTGCACATTTTCCGAGTCTTCCACCTGTGTGTACAGTATACCATTAGTTGACACTTGACACATATCTACCTCTTAAAAAATAGACTAAAAGAATGCTGCAGGGCATTCCAAAATATATATGTTCATCTCAAGGCATAAATATCTAATCAAATCAGGTTACATACAACATAATCTGTTCAAGTTCAAGGAATATTTGCAGCTCATTAAGGGGACCTTAAAGCTCTTTAATAAATTATAAATGTTTTATTTGAAAACATGTTTATAGTGGCTTTACACAGTCGGGTGGTGGGAACTGGCATAAAAACTATTAAGTGTTAAATTATGCCTGCAATGGCACTACCCCATCCCAAGTAAAAGGATGAAAATGATGGCAACTAAAGACCACAGACAAGAAGTAGCTCAAGCTTAAAGATGAACCAAGGCATAAGTATTTAAATGCTTACCAAACTTTTCAAATGGTGCAATTGTTCATTTAACTTAGAAACTTCTTCCTGCAAGTCATAAACAAGATCATTAGATGCATGAAATTATAAGAAATAAAAAAAAGGTGCAACTCTTACACCTCAGATATGCAATAGATTTCACTTTTCAATGCAAAAGGTTCGATAAAAACAGTCAAATAAAAGATGGATGACTACAGATAACCAGGATCTCTTCTGGGGAATCTAGTTACTCCTAAATGGCATCCCATGAGAATTTTATTCACCATTTTTCCAATTCACAATAGCCCAGGATTATAATTCAAATCTAAAACGCTTCCGCCATCCATAACATTTGTGATGGTTTCCATTAGACAAAACTTAGTGCTCCTCCTCTCATAATTGTAACAATCAGCCTATCATTTGCTACATCCCCACTCAAACACTTGCTCTGAAATTTTAAATCCTATTAAAAGAAACGCACATCGAAGGTACCAAACATATAAATATATCTTGTGAGAGAACTTAGTACACTTCAAACTCCCCTACAATGAGATCAACCATTTTTTTTTCATCCAAGGTAAAAGATGCTAGTATACAGTTCAAATTTTCAACCTCATTTTCCCAGGATTTCTGAGTAATCAAACAGACCATACAACTATCAAATCAAAATCACAAAAAGTAAAAGATTGAGAGTGAGACCAACCTCGTGCTCTCTGAGGAGAGTTTGACGGTCCCAAACAACCAGAGTGACGCAAACAAAGGCTATGAAAAGCAAAGCCAAGCGTTTCGGTCTCTTCAAGTAATACGATGGGTTACAGTACCTCAATCTGCTGGACGATGATCTGGTCCTAGCCATCATATCACACAAACACTAACCCTACGATTCAAAGCCACAACATGGAAAACACAACGAAACGTCTTTCCTCGATCTGAAAATAAAGAAACGGCATTCAAATTGTTTTGCAGAATCGAAGCGCTGGAAATGAAAACGGTGTGTAATTAGAAACGTTTCGAGCTGCAATGATAGACGGGTAATGGGGTTTGATGGTTTTTCCTTTTTGGATGTGATCTCCCGTTGAATGAGGTGCGCGTTTCGGTACCCAGGACGAAACGGTGGAGAGAGGAAGGAGAGGGTTTGTGATGACTTTTGAACTTTGTCGATCCGTGGAAGTTTAATATGGAGAGAGAGAGAGAGAGGAGAGAGGAGAGAGAGAGAGAGAGAGAGAGAGATTGTGGAAGAGAAAGACTGAAGACTAAGAAAAGTATTTTGTTGTCTGCAAAAGAAAAAAGACAATTTTGTTGTGAGCAAAAATAAAATAAGTTTGTAGTTCTCACCAAAAAAAAAAAAAAAAAAAGTTGATTAGTCTGGGTTGTGGTTAAGGCTTAAAGGTGCCACCCATAGTTAGGGTCCATTCAGGACCACCTCACGGTTCAGACAAAAAATAATAATAATAAGAAAGAGTTTTTCGAAAAAATTCGATAATATTGCGATATATAAACCAATTGATGTGGCTAATTGACTGAAAATATCGATAGCGAAATTTCCCCAAAAAATTGACCATAAATAGATGGGATATTTAGGGATGGCAACGGGTCGGGTAGGGGCCGGATATGACAATACCATCCCCGTCCCCACCCTCATCCCTGAACCAATCCCCGTTTAATAGGTTTCGGGGAATCCCTGTCCCCGTCCTCGTCGGGAGACTATCCCTCAACCCGCCTCGAATCCCTGATTTTTTTTTCATAAAAAATATTTATCATACATTTTAACATTAAGTTTCATATTAAATTATCATTCAACACATTCAAATTAACTATAAAGTTCAACTCAACTATTCAAAATCATATCAATATGAAAATCCAGAGAAAATTAGGAAGAATTAGGAGAGGGAGATTAACTTAGGATTAAATATAAATATTATAATTATATATTTATTTATTTATTTATTTAAATATAAACATATATATTGCCCAAAATATCGCTAGTAAAAAAAACGACATTTTCACGGATGAGATTATCAATATTTATGACGTCGAAGGAGGAATTCGCCAGGAAAGGTATCTCCCCGCCACACGTCTATTCTGGATTCTCTCCAATTTTTTTTTAAATAAATAGTATAGCCGCGCGGCTATACTGGGTTATTTCCAATTTTTTAAAAAGAATACACTCGGATTTTTCCAATTTTTTAAAAAGAAATAGTATAGCCGTGCGGCTATACGCGGATGTTTTAAATTTTTTAAAAGAAATAGTATAGCCACTCGGCTATACTCCTTTTTTTAAAATTATTTTTTATTTTAAGAAATAGCTATTACCCTTCTTTCGAAAATAAGTATATCCTCGGATTTTTTTTTTTAAGAAATAGCTATGTTGGGTTTTTTGCCAATTTTTTTTAAAAGAAAGGCTATGCTCGGTTATTTTCTAATTTCTTTTTTAAAATAGTATAGTTGAGCAGCTAATAAAAAGGAAGAATAATCCTTGCCTAATTGCTAGTGCTATAAAATATTAGATTGGAGAAATTACAATGCATGCACAGATAAGCATAATAAACAAAACAAAATTATGAGTTTACTTGCTCTCGGAACCTGAACGGGAACGTGTACATACTTCAATTTGATAGTAGATGGGTGGGTGCTGGGATTTTATTCTTCTACATACTTCAATTTAATTTTAAGTAACAGTGTATTTTTAAAATATTTTAAAGATTAAGTGCAAGGATAGGTGCTTGGTTTTTTCTATGCAATAATCTACTTGGCTTTTATTCTCTCTCGAAGAGTATTATCAGTGCAAGGAGAAGAAACTCTCATATGAAGATTATTAAAGTTGCTAATATAAACAAAGTGGCTTTACAATTTTTTAGGGTTTCCCATGATATATAGATGTGCCCAATTTTGTTTGCTTACTTTGAATCTTCTCCTCCTTCACTTTGTTCTCTGTATTTGGTGCCAAGTTTGTCCGTTCAAATTTTAGGGATTCTTTTAAATGAGAAATTCAATCCAAGATTAAAAAAACAAAACCAAAGTGAAAACTACTTTTATGCTCAAATATGACGTCGTCGTGTTGTGTATGAATGTATAAGGTGGATGGAAAAAAGGATGGGCAAGCATGCTTGAAAGGTTGACCTCCCTGGGGGCCTAGTCTTTCATGAACATTGGTCCTTGAACTCAATCTGGATGAGAGACTTCGTCTGCTCTGAGTGTGGCTTGCAAATGCTTGTGATATGTCGGCAAGCTGATCACGTTGCTGTCCCTCTCCTTGTCTGCTTACTCTTGCTTGTCCTGCCTGGTACCCATCGAACTGCATATCGACGCGTTCATCCAGCCTTCTCTCTTCGTCCTGTTGTCCAAGGCCAAGGTTTTGAGCCAAGTTTATTTGGTTGAGGAGTTGCCTCATCAAATTGTTTTGGTCGTCCATTCTCTGAGTCAGCTGGTCAACTCTCAGATTAAGGTCTACTTGACTTTGTGGATCGGGAGGAGAGAAGTGTGTAGAGCCCAATTGTACACGGGCTAGGGTTTCATTAGAGGTGTGAGCAGGAGCGTACGTCGAGCGCGGAGGCAATGGAGGGAATGACTGAAGTGCCCCAAGATTGGGCCAAAGTCGGCGGTGGTAGTGAACCCACCATGATGGGAGGTTCCACCATGTTCAGCGGCGACGCTATGAAGGTGGCTAGATCCGGCCACGGGTCCTTGAGATGGTACGACAACGGCAGAGGCTGATGCGGTGGTCCCAGCTACGAGTCCAGTAGGTGGCACGGTCGTTCCAGTCACACGGGGTGGCTGCTGTGGTGCGGCAGCAAGGGTTTGCTGAGGGTTCATGGTGGCGAGAGGTGGTGGTGCCACCATGTCGATCATGGGATCATGGGAGGAGTAGTTTTGGGCCATCACGGATTGAGCCATCGCGGCGGTCTTGCTCCTTGTGCGCTTGCTTCCAAGTATGGTTGTTTGGAAGGCTTCGGTAGATTGGAAAATAGGAGGAACGGATTCCTTGAGCACACGTTGAGTATAATTCGTGCTCTCAATGAAAGCACCAAATGTTTGTGCAAATAATCTCGCAGGAGAATATTCGCTTCTAGATCCTTCAACCTTCGATCTTCCTTCTCTCTCTTCCTCGATTCCTATAAAAAAGACTGGAGTAAATAGACCACACCCGGGGGGTGTTGGCCAAAGGCCCTCCGATGCCTAAGTTAGTTAGAGTGTTTGTAGGAAAACAATAGCTAAGCAAAGGGTACGGAGTTGTATGTATGGTGTCAACTGGGCGGCCGGAGCCGTGTGTGGTGGTCGGAGCCGTGTGGAGAAAATATGGAGAATGGAGAGTGGAGAGGGAGAGAGCTTCGGGTATTTTTATCAGGTATTAGGAGTAGGTTTAGATGTAGCTTGAATGATGAATGAAGTCATCTATTTATAGGAGCCTTGGGGCTAGGGTTTCGTAGAGATTGAGTCGGACTTGATTACATCCTTTTATTATGATAATATCTGAATTAATGATATTATCTCATTAATTATAAGATAATACCCTATAATTAAGATATTATCCCCTTATTAGTATAATATCCAATTAATAATATTATCTTATTAAATAAAGATAATATCTTATAATTAAGATATTATCCCTATTAATTAATTAACCAAATAAATTAGTTTAATTAATTAATTTAAGGGATAATCTTCTTTTCCACATGGCGTGCTGTGATTGGAGTCGAAAATATTTGCTCCCATAGCATCTAGCCTGCACCACCTATATGTATCCCCTGTACCAACTCTATGTAGCACAGTGTTGATATGGATAATGTTTTGATGAAATTCTAAGGCCATGAAAACCTGTCAAGCATCGGCATGCCTTCACAATATTAGCAATCATGGTAGGTAGAAAATTGTATACAAGATTCTTAAGATATGAATCAGTTTACTCAAATGTGTGGAAAAAGATTACAACAAAAAGGTCCAAAAGCAATTCCTTCTTTCAGTGTCTGCATATTAACGAAATCCTGATTGAACCCTATATGAGAAAGCCAGATATCATCCAACATGGAAAGTCAAAAGAAAAGCACAAAACAAGCCCAAAAAGTACTAACCAGATGAGTTAACCCTCCAATCAACGGGCTGCCATGCCTTTTCTTTTGTTGTCATTAATGAAAAAAAGAAGAAGGAAATTGAGATTGCCTTGAAAAAATTAATCTGAAAAGAAAAGAAAAAAATATGGGCCGTTGAGATCATGAAGAAAAAAACTGAAACTAGTATTAACTTAGCATACCATTATACACACATTCATTATCATCACCTTCTTCAATCCTTAACCGGACTAGTGCCAGTAGAGCCATTCTCTAACTTATCAACATCCACCTCAATACCACAATACTCACGTACAAAGTGGCAGTATGTTACATTGCGGCAAGAATGTTTCCCCCTGAAACACGTTGCCTGCCAAGAAATAAATAAATAACAAATTTCATTCAAAATATTAAGATTATTTCTTACTTGTTGTAACAAAAATGCAAGATGGTGATTTTGCAAACTCTTTGCCAAACAGAACAACAATTTCAAACAAAGATTTACGGGTATAGTAGTAATATTCTTCATCATGTAAAGTGTTGTTTGAAATGTGAAGCAATTACCAAGAACACTCCAACTCAGCATGCAATTCACTATAACCAATAATGTGTGCAGTTACAAAATTTAGTAGCACTCGAGAGAACGAGGTAGATCAAAGGCAAACATTCCAAAAAAAAATAAATTTGAACTCTCAAATTGATTTACTATGAAATTTCTCTCTTTTAAACATATGCTTTGGATATATTGAAACTACTAAATTAGTATCTATACAGTATAAACTAATTCAAATAGGAGGGTCCCTTTTTTTTAATAAATAGTATAGCCGCGCTATTCGTCTATACTATGATTTAAAAAAAAAAATTAAGCAGTATAGCCGAGCGGCTATACTATTTTTACACGCGCCGCACTTATTAATTTTTTATATAAATAGTATAGCCATCGGGCTATACTTATTTTTCATTTGTTTAAAATAATATAGCCGCTTGGCTATACTCTTTATATACTGGGATCATTTTTAAATTTTTTTTATGTATGCTCACCACCTATGAAAATATAATCATTGCAAAAGAACTTTAGTTTTTCATTACATATAATTCAAAATTCAATCCGAAGATACAACATGAAATTTAAAAACAACATTACATTAAGAACTACATCCATTCTTTAATTTTTTTTTATAAAAAAACTAAGGTTAACCAAAACACTCAGAGAACTCTTTTAGGCTTCCAAGTCCATCAATCCTTCCATGTTAGAGAGAATGCAATCATCCACATCAATTTTCATTCAATGTAAGTTTTGATGTAGGACCCAAAATTTCTACAAAGAAGAAAATATCATATTAAGATAAATATAATAAAACCAATACTAATTAATTTAAAATATGAAAGTTATCTTGAAATAATATTTACCTGATTCAATGTCTTCAATATCATCTGTGATCTCAAGAATATTTACCCTACATGCCTCTGGACTATAACTTGTAGCAATGAGTTTGCCTTCTTCCTCCCCTTTCTTTGGTTGGAAAGACAAAGTTTTTTGCTTCTTATTATCTCGGCCAGGATACTCCTTACATTGATTTGCCAAATGACTCAACAAGTTTGATGTCCCATTTTTCTTGCTACCACATGCATATATTTTACTGCAATACTTACATTTTGCTTGAGGATTTTTTGGATCATCTTGCAATTTAATAAAGTGTTCCCAAACAACTGAAGGAGGTCTAGAAGGTTTTCTCTTACCTTCAATGGGAGTAGAATCACTGGGTTTTGTTTCTTGTGGCAACACTTCAACATTTGTAAGTTTGACAGCATCAATAACATTAGTAGTTGAAGGCGCATCAGTTGGTGGTTGACTTGTATTTCCAGTTTGGTTTTTCATGGAAGTTGAAGTTGTCATCTGTTTCATAAAACTCTGTTAATATTATGCTTGAATGATGAATCACTGAGTTCTTGAACCCAAAAATAATAAACACTTACCAAATATGCTGATAAAGGGTGTGTGGGAATTCTTTTGAGCTTGCTAACAATATACTAAAACTCGTGGACCCTTGGTAAGTAAAGCAAGCATGATAGCTACTATATCTAATATATTAGCAATATATGGGAGTTTGTGAGCATTGAGCATGCTGTGTTGCGTATGGGAAATACAAATATGGGGTTTCTGACCATGTTGTTGAGCATGCTGAGTATGGGTAATATATATGGGGTTTCTGACCATGTTGCGTATGGGAAATACAAATATATTTATATATTTTACAATATGACTAATATATATATATATATAAATGCATATATATTGGATTGGTTCGGTTTTAGTTGGATTTTGAAATCTTCATCCGCCATCCAAACCGATCCAATTGGATTTTCAATTTTCTGATCCAATCCAATCCGCCGATGTTGTCGAAACCAATAAAAATTGGATTGGATTGGGTTGGATTGGTCGGTTTTAGCGGATTGGTTTGGATCCTGCACAGCCCTAGTTTTGGGTGATGAACACATATTATTGGGCATCTATAGCACTTAACTTGCAGAATACACATATGTGTTGAAAATTAAATATATTTACTAGAGAGGAAATGGAGCTTAGAAAAATCAATTGCAACTATGGGAGTTAAATTAGAAGACCTTGCTAAGGGCATCCCTTCGCATTGCACCTTGCTTTGAACCAAAACCAGCGGCGACCAGTACTTGACGCAGTATTTCTGTCCATGTTAAAGGGTTTAGCGATCTCTTCCAGAATTCCAAAGTGGGTTCTTGATTTTCAACCTGCCAAATCATTTGATAAAGATGCTTAGTTATTGAGTACTTCCATTCAATTTTTTCATAAAAATATGAAATAATAATTTATTTAAGAGATGAGCAAAAAAGTCTCAAATGTTACACACATTTTATATATTTATTAAACTTTAAAACGAAATATACAAACCTCTCAAAACAAGTTGTAAAAACTAGCAATGAAGAGAACTCATTTGAGATTATTCAAGGTGATAATTATTCAGTGCAAGATAAAGATATTTCTTCCTCTCCATATTTATTTCCTCCTCGGCATCATCCCTCTTAGTTTCTTCCTTCCTCTTCAACTAATAATTTTAAAGGTTAAAATGGCCACAAAGACTGAGGCATATATACAAAGTTTGTTGCTCAAGGCACTGAGAATTGCTACCGAAACCCAGAAGAAGGCTTCGAGAGTATATATGTTGTGTGTATAGTGACTTTTTTTGGGCCACGTATTTTACTTTTTTTTTTTGTTGGAACCTATTTTACTAGTTAAAAATCAATTTAAAAATCAATGAGAAGTGAAAAATAGTACATGTCCCTTTGTTAGAGACATAAGTTATCTTTCTAGTGTTTATTTTTTGCCTTACACATTAAGGATTAAATGTGATAATTAATTGGCTTATAAAAGGCATGTCACTACCTATATTATAAAAAGCTGCATACACGGTTAAATGTAAGTTTATTTATTTATTTATTTTTTGTTGGAGCTTAAATGTAAGTTAAAAATCACTCTTCAATTAACGGTAAGTATCTTTATAGAGCATCTGCTTCAGCAAAAGACAAAATAACGGTAAGGAAAAAAAAAGGACCCTAAACTAGCCTAGGCGCTAGGCGCCTGCCAAGTTCTTTTAATTTTTTTTCCTGACTTTAAAGAAAACCTACGTCAATAACGTGATGATCAGAGCATATGCGTGTACAAAAATCAGTGCTGTGGATGAAACTCTTTCTTTGTTTGGGTAGTTGTTGCTGTATAAGCAAATGCTCTGCGATGGCATTTCCCCTAATTGTCTCACTTTTCCGTTCCTTGTAAAATAATGCACGAGTAGGGTTGATGGTGGCACATGCCGGAGTTTCCGTGAACAAGTCGTTAAGTATGGGCTCGACATGATGTTTTCGTTCAAAATTCATTGATTGGTATGTACCCTGCATGTGGGTTTCTGAATAGTACATGTACATTATTTGATGAAATGTTGGAAAGGGATGTTGTTTTGTGGAACGGATGATTAAGGGGTATTTGAGAGTTGGGAATCTTGATGAGGCATTGAATCTGTTTGGGAAGATGAACAAGAGAAGCATTATTACTTCGAAGCAATAATAAAAAATCGTAGTATAGCTGCGTGTCTATACTGTTTTTATTAAAAACAAAAACCGAGCGGCTATGCTCTCTCTAATTAAGAACAACAACCGAGTATAGCCGAGCGGCCATACTATTTATATATTAAAAAAATGGCACCCGGCGCTAGCGCACATTTTGCCACGCGTCACAAATAGTATAGCCGTGCGGCTATACTATTTTTAAAATCGTAATACTAGCGTTGTCCAGATAAGTGTCTCTCTTCTTCCTCGCGTCGAGTCTGAGCCTCTTGGGCTGTGTTTCCAGACACGGGGAAGAAGACGAAGAAGCCAGGAAAACGCAATGAGAAAGCAGCGAAAGCTTGAGGAAAAGAGAGCTCGCAGAGAGACCAGAAGCTCTCACCTGAGGATGACATCGATTCCATTTTGGTAATTTCATACTCGAACTATGCATATATATGTCATTATGTGCTTGTTAATTAGAGTTATGGATCATTTGAGAACAGCTGAAATAGTTTGTGGGAGTTTTAAACAGTGTTGGAAAAAAATCGGAAAAACGCCAGCCCAGACCAGCCCAGGCGGCCTAGGCGGGCGCTAGGCGGCCTAGGCGGGAGCTAGGCGGCCTACACTCCTTCCTCTCGCTGTTTCGACTTCATCTCTTTCTCTCGGTCTTTCTTCATGCAGTGCCTCAGTGCCACCTTAAGCGTCGACGCCTCAACGGCAAAACGCCAGCCCAGACCAGCCTAGGCGGGCGCTAGGCGGCCTAGGCGGCGCCCAACTCCCTGGCGGCTACTCCTTACAATTAGGATGAAATCGCAGCTAGGTGTCCTCCCGCCTAGCACCTTGAATGTATCGGTGTGAAAGGCTGATCAAAGCTATGCACCTTGCATAGGAAATTGGCTCCCGAAAGATGGTTCTCTCCGGTGACACGTAAACACATGTTATGCTATCACTTCCATAGTAAATATAAATTTAACCTGTCGTTTAATGAAGTTGAATTACAATATGAGAGAGAAGAAAAAACAAGTTGAATTCCAATAGCTGCTAATTGAAGCAGTTTCCCAAATAATTGATGGCCTCGTTCTCATTTCATCCATATCTCTGCATAATTTCATTTTGATGCTTCTAAAACAAATTAAAGCATGGAGTGGAGTTTATCACATTCTGTTCTCACATGGCTCCTGGTAATATCCATAACACCAGGGCAGCCACAGAGGGCCATAGTGAGCTCAAACTCATCTTTCAGCATTTCGATAACCCGTCTCACGCCGTGTTCTCCATTTGCTGCAAGGCCATAGATTACAGGCCTTCCAACCTGTAGCAACATTAGCCTGTATTTCAATAAGAAAATCCAAATAGAAAATTTGGCATAAGTCCAATTATGAGGAGATATTTTGGGTTCAATCCACGCAAAAATTGTTGTTGATCCAAGTCCTTTGACTTTTGCGCCACATAAGATTACATGCCTATTTCAATTTATTGATATTTACTTTTTTTTATTTTTTATTTTTTGTTCCAGTTATGCACCTAAAACATAAATAAGGTAAATTATGAATTCCTAAAACTGGTAAGTTATTGATTTGTAGGATATTAATTATCATATTTGATTTGAATTTAATTGCAAATCTATTTATTGAATTCTAAAATTTTCCCAAGGTATACCGACATCAAAATTTGTAATAAAAGTTCATAAAAACTTCATACCTTAACAATAGGTAAGGTACCTATGCATACACCTCGTATGCAGTATGCAGGTAATTAAACCCATAAATTACCTCTGGTCCAGGTAATTAAATCCATAAATTACCTCTAGTCTAGGTAGTTATACCCTCTAGCCCAGCTAATTGAATTCATATAATATCTTGGTATGGATCTTTAAACTCAACTGAGATAAAAATCCATACAAAATTTCTTTGGGAAAAAAAAAAACACTATTACATGGAAGACATGTACGTATGTATATAAATATGAACCTCCAGAAAAAACTGCTTAAGAAAACTCAAGAAAAAAACACTTACCTGTAAGGTAGGTACATATGTACCTGTATGTATTAACATTATTTACCTGTATGTCAGGTACATAATTTAATGTGGGTGTTTGTCTGATCGATTGGTATAATATGTGAGTCTTTACTTTTTATTGATTAAATTGTATTTTATCTATATATTAGGAATATTATCAAGGAAAAAAAATTCAAAATTCAAAATTTGGAATTCAATTTCAAGAAAATAATGCATTAAATTTAGATTTTCAATGTGTTTTCCTTATTTACCTTAAAGGGTAAAATCGACACAACAAAAAAGTAATAAATGTCAAAGAACCTACATCTAAAACCAAAAACACGAGGACTAGACCCAATGATAGCTAATCGTTTTGGACCTAGATCTAAGAACCCCAAATCCAAAACAATGCAAGCAGTTTAAGGGTTCATATCAGAAGGGCAGCTTGTATAGATATAGATATCTTACAAGGATAGCTTGTGCACCCAAGGCTAATGCCTTGAACACATCTGTTCCTCGCCTTACTCCTCCATCAAGCAGAACAGGAACTTTTCCTCCAACAGCATCAACTACCTGAGAACATTATAGATATATATGATTGAACATTCTTACAACTTTTCCAATGGGAGAGTTTCTTTTAAAGACTCCTTTTTTCTTGAGATCCTATTTCGGTTTTGTAATAAAACAAGGTCATCACACCCTATGTGGGTGAGTGGGAGATGTAATAAAACAATGATTATGCACTAATCCTTGTTTTATGGCACTACACAAATTAAGGCACTTAGCCTTGTTTTATGGCACTACACTAATCCTTGTTTTAAGGCACTAATCCTTGTTTTAGTGCACTACCAAACTAAGCACTAGTGCATGTTTTATGCTCTCTTGAGATGAGCTAAAACAACTCCTATAAATAGATGGAGTGTGTGCAAGTGAAGAGGGGATGAGAAGCATTAGTGCATACTCTCTAAGTTGGTGTGTGTGATCAAGAAGTGTGAGTGCATATCAAAGAGTTGTAGTAAGTTTTACACCCACAAAGAGAGAAACCTCATATCTCCCTAAACACTCTCCTTTAGGCAATTCACCAAGAGCCTTGGTCTTGGGTACGTGGAATCAATGGAGTAACTTTCATAGCCAATCCAACGACCTTGGAGACGAAGAACGTGTAGAATCTTGTTGGCGTGTTCGTGACGTGGAAGCATCACAGTGGGCTAGTAATTGCAAGCGGTTTTTCACTTGGAATCTTCCGCAAGGTATGCAGTACCTTATTCCGAATATATTAACGATAATTAACAGGTTTTATACAAGCTTAGCCATGCGTAAGTTATGCCATGTTTGTGCTTACAGGTTACACCAGAAAACTATGAATTAGAAATAGAGTTCTACCTCTTCCAGGACAGAAATGGTGGTAGGAGTATAATCTAGTTGGCGGCCTCCTTGGTTGGAGACAACAATCCCAGCAACACCTACTTCCACAGCCTTTCTTGCTGAAATGGTAGAAAGAAGAACACCTATTCAGAAGGGCTAATGCCAAATTTGATTTCAAGTGTCAATCCAATGTATTTCACCGAGTCGATTATTTTGACTGATCATCATGCCTTGAATACCGGGAGAAGTTAACATTTACGAGACCTTTTTCCTTTTTACGCAAATTGATCTTTCCCTTTATGAGTTAATACTTACAAGACGTAAAGATAAAGATACGATTATTTGGAGCCTTGATCAGTTCATCTTACCAACTTCATGAGTGAGTACTCCCTTGATCAGAATTGGCAAGTTTGTAATAGATTTCAACCGCTCTATGTCCTGCATATGCGATGCAATAACTAATGATTTAAGAAGAAAAGAAACCAGGTACGTAGCACACAGGCACAGAAATGAGTATAAAACTTAGGCACTTTAATGGATGTCTTATAGCCTCAATCTCTGCAGAAAGTTACAAACTTACAACTGAGTAAAATCTATATAAATCATGCATCTTCATAGTGTAATCCCAAAAACAGAACCAAAAAAAAAATTAGCCTTAGAGTAAAAAGATCTGTAGCATAGAACATCGAATCATATGACTGTGTAATGAGAAGACTCAACTGATTCATACCTCCCAGCACAGAGAAACATCAAACGTCTCTTTGACAAAAGCTTCCACTATCGATCCTTCATCCTGCAGAGTATGTGTCATATAGATAAACATGTACTTTCACTTGGATCATACAACTGACAAGCAAAACTTATTTCAATCAGCACACAGACGTTCATGTTGTGAATAATCACAATGCACAAGATTTACTCTTTGGATTAGTTTGTTAAAAAGTTATCAAATAGGGAAAAGAAAAATTAGTAAATAAACAATACACGTCTCGACCACGTTCTGAAGAATCTGTAATGGGATTGTGCATAATTTGGAAACAAGTGTCATATTTCCACTAATAGCGGGTGAATAATAAGTAGAATGGATTATGGAAAACCTAAATAACCTGATTAATTTACTTAGGGGCAGTGACGCGCAGCATCTCACTTTCTAGGCTTAACAAGTTAAACATTTTAAAGTACAAATAGAACACGATATTACGAGAAAATAATACATAATACCTATTCATAACTAAACAATTACACTCACAGAGTTTACGTCAATTGATAAAATGCCTTCAAAGTTCTTCAACTGAGGTGTAACCATTCTGCAGAAGTTGTCACAGTCATGTTTCCAATGAGATGCATAAGATATAGTCCAATCCACCACATGAGAGTGTTAACAAAACAACATTTGATATGATGTTACACATAAAAGTTTCTTTCATGGCATAAAGCAAGTTATATCACACTTCAAAACCAATAAATTCCATGGCATGGAGAAACAGAACACAAGCAAAATGAGATGACATGAACCTATTCTTTATGTCTGCCTCTCTTCGACCAAGTCTGGGAGCATCAACAGTTAAGACAATAGCCTTGTATCCATTTTTTTCAGCTCTCTGAACTACCTGAGCTGATATATCTCGTCTCTTGTAAACCTGTTCAGGAAAGGTACCATTTGATAGCTTGAGCCCCAGTAGGCAGGATAGAAACTGAAAAAACTGTAAACAAGAAGAATATTCCTGTAAAGAAAAACTTGTGTAGTGAAATTAAAATGAGTTCAAGAGAGAATAAGTACATATAATGGAAAGAACCGAACAGCATTGCAGCTGGAAGCAACGTCCTCCACAGTGCACGTAGACATGTGGGATATAAAACCTACAATGAAAAATACAACAATTCAAAAACCTAACTACACATGTATTAGCTCAATACATGTTACAATTATACCATTATGGTGTTGCATGCTGCTGCTGCTCTAGCAGTGGCGACCTCTCCTGTGGTAAATATAAAGAGCAGGTTAAAACTAGCAGTGTCTGAAAGAAAATCTCAACTGAGTACTCTTCAAATACGATTTAGACCTTCGGGGTGGGCTAACTGATGCCTAGCTGTAGGAGCAATCATTATAGGTGCTGAGATTTTGTAACCCAATACAGTAGTTGACATATCTGTTCTGCTAACATCTACAAGAACTCTAGGCCGCAACCTGAAAGAAATACATAGGAATCACTCAAGCAAATATATTGTATTTGACGGTATTCGTCAGCAGGTTTAAACATTACATGATTCTGCGAAATGCATCAACATTCTGCTTTAGCGTGTGCTGGTCCTCAGCTCCCCCAGTATAGAAATCATAGTACATTTTTGGAAGAACTTGCCTAGCCAATTCTCGGAACTCATTCACATTGACAGGTTCGGAGGCCATTTATCCTGGGAACATACACATTGATCAATCATAGCTTTCGAGTTTCGAACAATCCATCCTAGATGATATGACATAAACATCGGAAACTACAAGGAAAGGGCTATATATTTTACTTAGAATCTACAGAACTGGATGAACATCCATTGCAATTTTATAAGGGACATTTCAGAAGGAAATAAAGGGAAAAGTTATGGGGCCTCTATAATCCCGAACAATTTGTGTTTGTCAAATATTCACCAACTACTGAATTATGTGTTTTGCTATCCAAAAAACTTACTTCATAATTAGCACTAAAACAACCAAGAACTGCTTCAAAAGCTTTTAATCAAAACCATCAGAAAGAAAGCATGTTTTTCTTTTTCTTTTTATAGGAAAAAAAAAGCATGTTGATCCACTAAAAATATGTGCATTCAAGCTCACATGGTAATCAAATAAGCTGATCTTAAACCAAAAAGTAAGCTACACACCTATGACTTGAGACTTGGAAAACCCAAAATTTTGTTGTCCTGAAGAACTGCAGAGAAATAGACAATCGTACTGGACTGTTTCTATGAAAAATTATTACTTGTGTTTCTTTATGTGGGGCCCGAGAAAGAGGAAGATATCAGGGAATTATCATGGCTGACTGATTTAGACATTAATTTACTCATTGCATGACTGGTTTGTGAGCAAGTCATTTTCTGGCAAGTTGTTTCTTCTTTTTTTTTTTTAATACAAACGGAGGGGAGAATTAGGACCTTCCTTTGCATGTATGCCCCAAACACATCTGCAGTTGCACTCTGGTTGGTGAGATTGGATGCCTTAATTGCTCCATACTTGGAAAGAGCCCATTCTCAGAAAAGGCTGGAAATTAGTGTCAGAGGTAATGATTGAATATAATGCGGATTGGTGCTTGACAATTGAGTGACTTCTTAATTGTTTTCATAGCTTTTCAAATTTTCGCCATCTTAAAAGCTTCTTTTACTTCAGGGAAGCATGCTCCAAAGCAATAGCACCGCCTTTTTTCGGTAGATTAGCCAAATTCAATCCCACGTTTTTTTGACAGATTGAGGAGCAAATATATGTCCACTGTACTGCCAGATCAGTGGAACTGTTGCAGGCTTTGAAACCGCGGTACTTTGTATGAAGCTATGCTTCAAGTTTTCTATTTAGTTGCCATATATGGCTATCGAGTCGTCAGATGTACAGCATGAAGGAAAGTTGGACGTTTAATAGATACAAGAGTTTCATATCACTGAAGCCTGCTCCAGAGAAATATCCTCACGTTTATCCTGTATTCTCTTGTGAAGAATATGGCAGCCTCTTTACTGTCTCAGTCAATGGAGGATTCAGATTTTGTTCATGTATGCTTGCTTGTTCTAGTTTTTTAAAGCAGGAATAAAATGTTGTCAAATGTACATTGTTGTAAAGAAAAACAAAATACTGTATCTCTTATCAACTATACCACAAAAAGTGCACATGGATGGACTACTAATAGTCTGACTATGATTTTTTTCACAAAATTTCTTGTCGCCTAAGCGTATCTATCAGACATTCTGGAATGGACACCAAACTTTTGATTATTAGCTGATATCCTCTTTCCTATATTCTTTAAATTTTTTTGATATCATATTGCTACTTTCAGCGGTATTTAACTTCCCTGTAAAGAAAAATGTCAACAGTCTTATAGATTGCGTTCTCTTTTTGGTACCAACAAAGTTCCAAACATATGAGCCTTTAGAAAACAGCTCTGACATATATGTACCCAAATGAAATGGTCAATATGACTACACAACATTATCATAAGTTAAATGAACTGTAAATGTCTGTGATCTGCACGATTACATGCTGTTTGTTCATAACTCACCGAGTGAATAAATGCAAGAAAATTGCATGATTTGCTCAAATAAGGTATATAGATCCACAGCCAACCTCGGCTTCAACATTAGATAGAAGAAGCTTCAGAAGGGCCACATGAATTTTTCCAAGTAGCAAGGAATCCTAAAAGGCATTTTACGAAACAAAGATGTTGAGCAAGTAGAAGACACAATAAATCCAATGTTGGATCAAAGATAAGATATAACCTTGTCCTGAAATGCTTGGGCAAACTCATCAATAGTGAAGGAGCTTATATCTACCATAATGGCACAAGTATAAAGGAAATGGAAAACCTGCCCAAGAAAGTGAACCCAGAATATATTTGAGTACGATAACTAGACAAAATGTAGCAATCTGAATTGATGACCCCCAGACACATTTGTTAATAAACCCAACCCAAAAAAAACTGCAACAATCTAGAGTGGTGCTTTAACACTGCACATCTTTTCACTCACCAGTTTCCATAAGGAATCTTAAAGTTGACAAGATAATAATAAATTCCTACACTCGGTATGAACTACACAAAAGAGAGTTACAACTTACAAGTAGATTCCAATATCAAATTTAGACCACATTCCATATATCTCTAGTACTTGATATATCTTTTTCTTGAGTATATCATAGTTTGCATAACATCTGTGCAAGAACAACCTATGATTTCAAACATATTATGGTGGTGCAGCAGAACTACTTCAATCCGAGCATCCTGTAAGAGTTATGTGGCCTAGCTTAAGGATATCATAGTTTGCATAACATCTGTGCAAGAACAACCTATGATTTCAAACATATTATGGTGGTGCAGCAGAACTACTTCAATTCGAGCATCCTGTAAGAGTTATGTGGCCTAGCTTAAGGTAGTTTTACTTTTCTATCCTTCTTTCTGGGTCTAGAGGGTTAGATGTTGATTTTGCACCTTATACGTATGCTTTATCTATGTTGGACAGAGCTTCTAATTTATTTTCTTGCTAATGATATCTGTTTCTTTATTTCAATAGTGGAATACTGGTTTTGATTGTAATTAATGCATTTTCGTGATACTTTTAGTCACTTTGCGAAATGGAGCATGAAAATGCCAAATTCCTTAATGCTAAAAGAGAGCTCAGTTATGAAAATGTTTTTTCATATGAGAAACAACGGAAATCTTATGAACAATTGCACCGCAATTTCTCATTGTAAGTTGCTTTACATTTTTGCTGCCATTTATTTTCATTTTTTAATTCATGACTTGGTGGTGCAGGTCAGATGGATCACATAGTTTGGTAAACAGTTGGTAAAAGAGTTGAAGTTGCAACCAGATGAATAATATGCTTGCTGTTGAAGGTTCCACCAGAAGAGCAGAAGCTTGCAGTCAGTCAACTGTGGTGAATCATATTTTTATGTTTTTGGATCAATTGACATATCTAGGTTGGGTTGTAGAGTCATCTAGGTTTGTTTTTGAGAGAGATGTATGTCTAGACTTGGATTTGAATTTGTTCAAACTTGGATAGCTTGTGAATTTGGTGGAAGAATGTTGATATTTTTTGAATGCAATGAATTATTTTATACTATTTTTTTATTATCAAAATTGTTTCCACAGCACTATGTATGAAAAAGAATGAGATGTTATTTCATATATTGTTACACAACAAAGAACAAGTAAAATAAACCAATTAGTTACGAATTTTTCAAATACATTAGTGACCAACTAAGTAGGTTAGTAATTTAGTCACGTGACCCACTTTTAGTGACCGAAATACGTGTTTTAGTGACCAAATTGTAAGCCCTTTAGTGATCAAAGTTGCAGACACTAATAGCTTTTCGTTAGTGATCAAACAGAGGAAATCACTAATTCTTTGGGTTATAGTGACCAATACTTGTAGTTGGTCACTAAATAGAATTTGTGACGAGCTTCTAGTGACCACCAATATTTGGACACTAGTTGTATTCAATTACCAAAATCGATACTTTTTGTGACCAATTTGCTGGCCACTAATAAACGTTTTTCTTGTAGTGAAAGGCGAAGATGTTGTAATTCTAATGATAAGCACCTAGCCCACAATTTTTTTCAAAATATCATTTGAAGGGGTATGTGTTTAAAAAAAAAACATTTCTAGGATATTTACTGAGAAACACCTTTTGTAGGGTTTATAGCAAAAACATTGAGCATAAGTGCTGCAATATCTAGTAGTGGACTTTACAACCTACAATAATAAGGGCACTTTCACCCATTTGTCATAGCAAATGGCAAGGGCAAGTAAGGGCAGTTATTGTTCACATGAATCGTATCAGCCATAGCAATTTTATTTTTTTTGGTGCTTTTCCACCCATTGCCATGGCAACCCAATGGCAATTACTATTCACATGGTATTAATTTTTTAAAATATGTATGAGATTAATAAATAAAAAATTGCTAGGAATATATATAATAAAAAAATTCATAATTTTTAAGAATTTTTTTCTTTTTAAAATAAAAAAAAAATTATTCGCTAACATCAACGCCCTTAGTCAGTAGCTCAGGCTGATCTTGCCTTCGGGCCTGCTTAGTCTTGGTGGAGCCCACGTCCTATTCGGGCTAGAATGCATTGGTAGAGAGTTTTTTTGAAACCAAGGGCCTTTTATCATGACCTTTAGGCCATGAGTGGAAATGCTCTAGCCATCTCCAACCCATGAGGCCTTTAGGCCATGAGTGGAAATGCTCTAGCCATCTCCAACCCATGAGGCCAAACCCAAAATATCCCAAATTATTGTCCAAAACCTCTCCCAACTCAAGAAAATGAAGAGGCCAAAAGTTGGGAAAATTCAAACTTGGACCCAAATACCAGTCCAAGTATTGCCTGGACCCAAAACTTTTTGTGGAGCCCACCTACATCTGAAACAAACCACATAATAAAATATTCTAACGTGGGCCCTAGCGCCAGAATTGCTGCTGCTTTTGTCTTCTTCTACTAGGCCACGTGTCGCTCTCCTGTATAGTTGTCGTTGGAATCCAACGGCAACATTTGAATAAGCTGCTACTTTTTTTTTTGTATATACATATAACTTAAATCAACGATCTACATTAAATCTAAGCTATTTTAAAGGTATATAATAATAAAAAAAAGATACAACGGTCAAAATAATATTTTAAATTAATCTAGATCATATCCAACACTAAAACTCACTCCAAACTCTACAAATACTCACTCAAAATAATATGTTGTGTGTTTTCTTTTGGAACAAAATTATTTTTGTGGAATTTTAATTTTTTTAGGTCAAATTGTTCAAAAAATTTAATTATGAAGTTATTTAAAAAGATTGAATGAAGAAAAGTTATCTATAAAAAATTAAAAATATAGACTTAAACCATTATTAAACAATTTAATAAAATTGCAGACTTAAAATTTGAGTACGGAGGGTTGGGAGAAAAAACGATTTGAGTCCGGGTAAAATCCAAATAATTACTTTTTGAAGTGAGAAAATTTGGGTTTAGCCCCTCATGGGTTGGAGAATGTCTAAGGGGGACTTAAAATTTGAGTACGGAGGGTTGGGAGAAAAAACGATTTGAGTCCGGGTAAAATCCAAATAATTACTTTTTGAAGTGAGAAAATTTGGGTTTAGCCCCTTATGGGTTGGAGAATGTCTAAGGGACCCAATTTCTAGGCTACAATTGGTGTAGATGTGACAGCCAATAATTTTCCATTTCATGGCCCAATATCTTTACCATTTTCTAATAAGTTTTTATTTTCTACAGTTTTTATTTGTTGGGACTCTGGGAGTCAGAGAAGTGAGGGTTAATGCCTAGCCTTCACAAGCAAAAACAAGGGAAAGAGGGCATAGTAGCTTTCACCTTCTTCAATCTCTGTGTGTGTGTGTGTGATTATTCACTCTTTTCTCTTTAGCCCCAGAAAAACCCTAAACCAGTCTTGACCTCTAAAGCTCAAAAGCAATCGAAATGCACCATCTTTCTAAGAATGCATGAATATACACAGAAGAAGAGCATGAAGAAGCAGAGAAAGGTGAAGACTTGCTTTGTTTTGATGTGATGAGATGAGATGAGATCGTCCTCTTATACTCTGCTCTCTCGCCTCCGCCACACCCATCGCTTCAATTCGCGCTGCCAATCCCAATTTCTGCTCTTTCACTACTCAGACCCCAAGCTCACACAAAATAACGACTGCAGCTTCTCCCAGAACGCTC